ATCTTGGTATTTTCATTCCGACTGGCAATATAATATACAGTGGAGCTTTTATCATTTTAGGTACTTTATGTGTGGAAAGATTTGACAGAGTGGACCATGCTACTTACATAGCAGATAAGTCTTCACCTCATCATTAATTAATTAGTTAATTAAGCATCCTCTGTGTACCTATGCTAAAAACTAAAGTGATTGACATGAGAATACCCGGGCCTTGAATTCTGAGATACTCAGATAAGCTATCTAAGAGTTCAAGTGAACCACATATGAATTTCTAGTTCTTTGATTCCTATTTAATTGTAGTTTACTCTGTTCCAGAGTTACACATTTTGCAATCACATTCCAGGGACAGTTTGGAAAGGTGCAGTAAACTGTATTAACTACATTTAAATTATATAATCTAGGGCCTGGGATTTAGCTTAGTGGTTCTGCCACCTGCCTCACAAGTTTAAGGTCCTGAGTTCAATCCCTGGTACAAAAAAAAAAAAAGATAAATTATATGATCTAATGAGCAGAAATTGCACTGTCTGCTACAGTAAAATTGGAAGCACTCCATTTTTGTGATTATCATTTGCTTGACCTTCCAAAAACATTTTTTAAACCCAGCTCAGAACATTGTGCTATTTTGTTAAAGACTCACGGTGGGAAGGAAATGTTCCAACTCAAATTCATTTTTTTTCTCTTTGATGGTTAACAGTGAAAGCCCAAGATTAACAAGAAAGTATTCTTCAGCTCTTCAAGATAGAATTGTTAACTAATATTACAAATACAGATATGCAAATTCCCACCCATATAATCCAGCTAAATTGGCCCTGTCACTCACCAACTGTGTGATTTAGACTAGTCATTCAATCTCTCTGACCCTAGATAAGAGAGGAAAAGACAGTTATAAGGCAACTTCAAAACATAATGCTTTATTGGCTCTATAATTTTAAATTATATTTTAATATCATTTTAAATATTTTTGACATTTTAAATTAATGCTGTTACTTAAACAGAGTTTTGATGAATGTTTTCAAAAGTATTTCACCTATTCCTCTCTTATTTTTACATGTATTTTTATATGTGTGACACGTGTTTTTTGCACTTAATGTTAGCTTTTTCTGAGGATCCATATGGTAGTAGAAAAATAGAAAGGTAGTGAGGTAGACAGAGCTCACATAACAAAGGTCACAGATTAAGCCTGGCACATGTGGGCTCTGATAGCCACACATCTGTGCATGTTTATATCTAGATGTCGTCAAAGCCTCACTACTCATAGGTGGGGCTGAGGGGAGGTGCCTGGATCATGGGTGTGTGATATTAGATTGGTCCACAGATGAGTTTATGGCTAAATTCAAGGTTGGGAGGTGAAGCTTGGGCAGAGGACATGGGTCACTGGGGGTGTGGCCCGGGAGGGCCGATTCCCCACACCCCACCCCACCTTGATTGCTCCTTCTGCTTCACCACCTTGCCAAAAGCAAACCTTCTCTGCTACACCCCTCTGCTGTGCTGCCCTGCCTCAGAGCCAGCCAACTATGGACTGAAACCTCTACAGAGTGAGCCAAAATAAACCCTTCCACCTTTGAGTTGTCTGTGTCCCAGTGACAGGAAAGTAACTAAGACAGGAAGGGGAGACAGCCTTCTACAGGCCTGGAGTTTGAGAAACCCAGGGATACCTGAGAAAGCATGGATTCCAAGCAGCAGGATCTTGCCATATGATGCAAAGACAAAGGGCCGTGCCCTATGCCTGTAGAGTCCTAACACTCAAGAGGCTAAGGCAGGAGGATCTCTGTGAGCTGGAGGCCAGCCTGGGCTACACAGTGAGTTCAAGGCCAGCCTGAACTACACAGTGAGTCCCTGTTTTAAATAAACAAAAAGGTGGGGGGCTGGGTTGAACAGAGAGATGATCTTGAGCATACCAAGAAGTCTGATATGGACTCACTCCCCTAAACCAGTCTCTTTAGCCTTCTCCTCTTCTGAGCAAAAGGGCGGCAATAGAACTAGCCAAGAGCTGAAAGATGTTTCATTTTTTATGGAATGCAATTCACAAAAAGAACATGAGTACCCAGATACACACATATCAACAACTCTGAAGCCAACATCAGGAACTTGTGGGCAAATGGAGAAAGGTGAGGAATGTACACTAAGGACATCAGGGCACTTGCACAGCCAGGCTGTACACAGGCTGGGGCTTTGGCATGTGACATACGGCCAGAGTGCACCGAAGGAAAAGAGAGATGTTCTAGTATGGTCTTGAACTCACTGTGTAGCCCATACTCACCTTGAACTCACGGCAATCCTCCTGCCTCAGCCTCCCAAATGCTGGGATTACAGGGGTTCACCACCATGCTTGGCTCAGCAAAGCATTTTCAAAAGCTATAAGAGCCATATAAACAAATACAATGAGCAGATTGTTTGGATCCTGATTTAAACAAAGTTTTCAAAGCCCTTTTCTTAAACAATCAGGGAAGTTTTAACATGTACTGGACGTTATGAGACAATAACTTTTTTGTTGTTGTTAGCTGTGATACTGGCATTGTAATTAGGAAAGAAATTAAATACACAGTGAAGTGTACCTGAATCAATGGTAAAAAGACACTGATGTCTGGGGTTCATTTTAAAATCTGCTAATGAAACCAAAAGCGAGGTGTAAATTAAGGTAAAATATGATGGCCACTGAAGGTAGCCGACAGATTCATGGGGGTTTATTCTACTTTGTGTATGGTAGAAAACGTTCAACACACTATATTAAAGTTTGATGTTTTCAACAATAATTTTTATTTTTTATCTAAATAGAAATAGTTTTTAGATTTCATCACCAAAGAGATGATGGGGTCCTAGGAAACCATTTAAAGTACTAAGCTTCCCTCACACACACTGAGAATGCCCAAGAAACTTCTAAACAGCAAGCTTGTGTCTACAAAGTACAAAGCAGAGAAGAATTCATCTGGCCACAGAGAGAGTAGAGGTACACAATTCAGATAATTTCATCTTGCAAGTGTACAGACTGACCTGAATTACTCAATTTTGACTGTCTCCAAACTAAGTGCTTTGATAATTGTACATTCTTCTCTTTGCTTTGTACTGTTCAGACTCAGTCCCATCAGGGGGAAAAAATGAAATCATCTTTGAAATTAGCCGGAGCAGCAATGGGACATTCAGGCTGTTTTTAGGATAGTGGTTAAAATACTAATAAGAGCCCAGTGTGTCACGGTGCTCTGATGATCAGGAAAAAGACGGGAAAGGTAGCCAGCTGACAAAGTGTCCTGAAAACCGCAAAGATGAGACAAGGCAGGCTGGGGAGAAAGCTCTATGCCAAAGTGGGGTCACCGCAGCTCTGCCTCTGGCTCCCAGAGTGGCCATGGGGGTCCCTTTGTTGACATCATAGCCTCACACCTTACATCTAGGCTTTCCTGGCTCTTCCTGTGCGCTCTCAAACACACCCTCTCGCTTTGCTTTCATCCTCCCTTCATTACCTCAGCAACTGCTGCTCTCATCTCCCACTCCCAAGAATGGCTGTGGTTAACACCAGATTCTTTTTCTGGGGAGGTACTGGAGTTCGGGTCCTTGTGCTTTTGAGGCAGGCCGCAGCACCGCTGAGCTAAATCCCCAGCCTAAAAGACCAGACTTTGACTCTCAGAGAATAATCAATAATTAGGTAAACATTTTTTGCAGGGCAAAGACCTGGATTCAGTGTTGTGGGCAATATCAGCTGCTGGTACTTACAAAGGAGTAGAAAAAGCAAATACAGAGCCTAGGATTTAGCTCAGTGGCACTTTGCTGACCTCAAAAGAGCAAGAGCCTGAGTTCGATACCCTGTTCCACGAAAAATAAACTAACTAAAAGAAAATACATATACAACTAACTACTTTATGGAGACAGTTATGATAGGAGAGGAAAATCAAAGGGAAAGTTATTTATTATATCTAAGAGTTGAAAAGTGGGGAAATAATGACGTCTCTATGGAAAAGTAACATTTGAGCTTTACCTTAAAGGAAGGGTTAGCTTTCAATAAATGGATGGACTAAGGAGGTTTCCAATTTTAAAAATGTGTATGGTTTGTCACAGATGCTGTAGAGGCCGGATGTGCACAGTCCTTACAGATTATCAGTACACAGCGTGCAGGAGGGCATGGAATTAGAGGCACAGGGATGAGAAGGGAACAATTCCAAGGCACATCTTTGGAGTGGATTCAGGGAGGCTTTAAAAAGAGCTCAAGGACACAAATGCCACCCTTTGCACTTCCTTGATTAACCTGAAGTGCTCACTCCAAGTAAACAGTGACATGCTAATCAGTGAGATCTTATTCTTTGATGTCACCTTTTCTTTCTTTTATTTTTAACTGTTTGGCCCTGGACATCAGCAGAGGATTACAGAGATTCATTCTTTTTTCCCTGTTTTGCTCCAGTGCCTAAAATTCATCCATCGCTTAGACTCAAAACTACGCCCCACCTGGTCCTTACTAAAAATGATTAGGACATAAACGCCAGAGGGATGGGGCTTTCATTCTTAAGCCACTACCTCAATTATGACCTACCGAAGACTGAGAGGTTACGATGGTGAGGGCAGAGGTTTGTTCAGAGGAAAGACAGGGACGGTTCTGGCATGTGGATGCTCTCTGGGACAGGCAAAGAATCAGCAGCCAGTGTCCTCCACCTGTTCTCATGATCACAGAGCTCCCAGACCTGCCCTGGGGAGAAGGGAAATCAGACCTCCCTGCCTGGCCCCAGGATGGCCAGACCGCAGGATGACCAAAGCATGTTCAAGTCAAGGTCCTAAAGAAACATTCTCCCTGGGTCTCATTTTCCCCAGCTGTTTCCCTCAATTCCACCTGCTGTGTGGCCTCTCCTGTTCTCTGCCTCTTCCAGTTCTCCAGTTATCCTTTTCCTCTTTCTCCTCCTTTCTTCTCTGCTCCCTCTTACAGACCTAACTAAGGCTATGAAATCCCTAAACTTTAAAATTCTTAAACTTTCATTTTCTTCCACCAGGGGTCGGCTTTGTTTCTTTTTTCCAAAGCTGACGAGGCTATACTGTGAGAGATTTTCGTTCACAAGCAGCTTCTTCTCGGAGGTGTCAAAGATGCCCCTGCCCCACGGGCCGGAGATGTGGGCGGAGGGGGCCGCCAGAGGGGAGGCTGGACCCGTGAGCCACCACAGACTTCTCCGTCCCACGTTTAGTATTTGAACTAGATGGAGTCTCTGGGTGGGGATACTGGGAGATGTTGGCCTGCGTTCAGGTGAGGTCAGAGCAAATATTTGGGCGGTGTGCGCCGTGGCTTCAGCGGCTGAGCAGGACATTTCACTGAAGAAGTCCATAGGTGAAGCCCACTTCCAGGCAGCCTGGGGAGCGAGGGGCTTGGCCCCTGGGTCACAGGGCAGAAGTGGGGTGGAGGTGATGGAAGGTCCTGAACTCCTCAGCCCTAGCCGGCCTCTGCCAAATCCTCCGTCGAGGTGGAGGCTGGGACTCCACTGCCAAGGTCTGCACCTGCGACCTTCCACCAGCCCGCATTCGTCTCCAAAAGCCTTTTCTACTTGTTCCTCCTCCAGTTTGTTTCTTCCCGCTTGTATCTCTCTGGCTGCAAACCAAGAAAGGCGCCCAAATATAAAAGTCAAGTTAAATTAAAAGCGTATGGCTTGAGTGCTCCCGACGCCCCCCACCCCCTTTTAAATTGTGTTTCAAAACAACATGGTGACTTTTGGACAACATTTTCCTATTTCACCCACACCACAATAGAGATGCGTTGAATGCGGCTGGTGAAATGTTTGGCTATGTCAAATTCAGTCCCGTAGGCTGGCTTGGGCCAGCACTGGGGCTCCGCTTTGTGTTATGTTCACGGAGAAGATATTAATTAAAAGAAATACATGATTAAAAAGTAATGAGTTGAATAAAAATTATCTCAGCTCATTTTCTGATTATGTTAATTGTTAAAAACCCTTCAATCACGCTGTTGCAGTCAATGGGCTTTAATGTGAAATTAGTGGGCTCTTGATAACTTACAGTCCAGAATAATCCTGGCGGTTTAGTCATCATTCCTAATAACAAGGATGTTGCTAAGAACAGAAATTGTACATGATTTTGATACATTCAGCCCTTCCCCCATATGTCATTTAAAAAAAAAAAAAAAAAAGCTTAGCTTGCGGGCGATTTCCAACTCCTCCTTCCGCGATTGGCCGCTGCCCAGGCGAGGCCAGGAGTTCGCCTTCCGGCCTCCTGGGCTCCTGAGCTCAGGTCTCGCTAGAGGCCTAGGTTCCCGCGGGTTCCAGCTCCGTGGCCAGGCGCCTTTGGGAACAGAGCTCAGCCTCCCCCCATGGCGAGGCCCGGAGAGCCAACTGCTCCCTGCGCTGTGCCCGCGGTGGGGTTGACGAGGGAAAAGAACTACTTCGCAGCTACCAGGCTGGAGCGGGCCCCACGGCTGGGCAGCCCTCGTGCGCCCCCAGGGCCGAGCCGAGCGGGGCGTGTGGCCCTGTGCTCCAGCCTCCTGATCGAGCTAGCTTGCGGGACTTAGGACGCCTCGGATTCCCAAAGCCTTGAAAGGGCAGAGGGTCAAGCAAGCGGAAGGTCTTTGAGCCTAGCCTGTACTCCAGACAGTGCTTGGTGTAGAGTAGGCCCGAACAGGTGTTCGTTGGCTTTCCGCGGGTACCGATGAAATCCGTGCGTGACTGTGATCAGTGTCAGTGTACGCAGCAGCACGGACCTCAGGAAAGCCCTGAAAGCTCCTCCCCTACCTGGGACAAAACTGCCTGGGGTGGCAGGGAGATGGGTACCACGGGCAGAGAGTGAGGAGGGTGGTCTCCTGTTCTCTTTGGATGTGTCTCACAATACAAACACTTTTTACTCTCAGTGGATCAGGAAAGAAGAAATACTCTGCATCCTGTTTGGCTTCTGGGGAAAGAGAGGCATTTACCACTCCAACTGGGCATGTGAGGCCGGCCATTGTAGGGTTGGGATCTTGGGCTGGTGTGGGTAATGGGGCTGCTCTCCGTGGGAGGCATGGGTCTCAAGGCCTCTGGTGCTAGATGTTCACACAGTTTGAGGCTCTTGGGCTCCTTGGCCAGCCACCACCCACCACAGAACTAGACTGGAAATCACCATCCGCATAACTGAAGGGGCTCAACCCCACTTTTCTCCCAGAAGTAGATGGGGAGGTAACATTTCCTGAAGTCCAACTGCCTGAGAGTATATATCCATACATCTCTATATACACAGAAATCTAGAGATATTGGTACACAGAAAGTCAGTGGGGGGATTGTGGAAGGAGGGTGGAGAGGTTGTGTGCATGTGTGTCTGTGTTTCAAAATGTCTTTATTTTTTCTTTCAAAGCTTCCACATTGAAGACTGCCTGGACAGGGTGTGGGTCTGGTGGTTCTTAATTTGTTTTCTGTTTCTCTGGCAACTTCCAAAGAGCAATTTTCTTTCTATTGCTTTTTTTGTTTTTTTCACCTCCTCAAGCCTAAATGGAGGAATCTTCCCTAGGAGGGTGATGGTGGTGGGGGTGTCAGGGCCTGGCTGGGACCAGTCCCAAGGCTAATTCTCCTTGTTCATCTATTTGCATCCGCTGTTAAGCTGAGGATCATTTTAATAAATAACAATGAACAGGAATGGCATCTAGAGGGCTTGTCGGCAACATTTAAAAGCCAATAGAGTTTATAATTCTACTCTATCATTTCTTATTGATTAGAGTAATCAAGATAAAAAGCTAGCCAGGCTCCGAGAACTTCAGCAGCATATCATTAAAGATAAGAGTCAGTTAATTCTGGAGCCGGGGTAATGTGGCTGAAATGAAGAGTTCATTTGCATGAGATGCTGAGCCCAGTAACAAGGGGACAAAAATCACTAATTAGGATTGCAGAATGTCGCCCTCTCTGCAAGCACCCTTTCCAGACTGCAGACCGAGCTAGTCCGTTTATGTAAATCTGGGGCAGGACTGAAAGCTCTCGCCTGCTTTGTAGATGGCAATTATCACCCCCGCCCTCCCCATCCTCCTTGGCTGGGCTCCCAACCTGTGCAGGGATGGGGGGTCACTGAGGTCGTACCCCCTCCTTCCCTGCCCACCCCACTCCCTCAGTCCCTGGAAAGCGTCCTGTGCATCCCCTTAGAAGGCACGTGGGCAAGTGTCAGCACCCAGTGAGCGGATCTTACCTCCTGGTCCTCGCCTTGGGCTTGGGTCTGGTCGCAGAGGCCCTGGGAGGCCAGGTCCGTGTGGCGCCTGCGGGGTGAGGGGTGTGAGAGCTGCCCGGGCCCCACACAAAATTCAAGGCACTTTAAGGACCCCCAACAAGACCCAGGTCCCGAGTCTGTGACCACCACCCAAGTGGCTCCTGCTAGTCCCTTCTGTCTGCCTGCTATTCTGGGCAGAGCCGGTCCGTGGGCACCCAAGGGCATGTGCTTGTGCACTGATAGCGCACTGGCGTGTGTACGTGCGACGTGAGCCTGTGTATGCAGAAATGTGCGAGTGTGCATTTGCGTGCGGATGAAGTGTGACTATGTTTTGTAAGCTTGTGCCGTGTTTTCTCTGCATGCGTACACACGTGTGTGAAGGATGGTGTGAATCGTGTGGGATGTGTACGCCCCCCATATGGTGCGTGTGGTGTGCTCTGTGGCTGTGGCGCGAAGTGGGGGGCAGGGTGACAGGCCCAAAAGGTTCCTCAGAGGCAGAAACCCAGCAGGCTTCACAGCAGGGGTGCGGGGCGAGGAGGAACCCGGGCGCAGCCCTAGCGCCCCGAGCGCCTTAGGAGACCAGGCGGGAGCCTGGAAGGAAGGAAAACGCCCTCTGCCTCCGGAAAAGTAGCTTCACCTTTTGGCCGGGAAGTTTCCTCGACACCCCCCCCCGGAAAAATGAAAGTAACCACGCTGGCACCCCAAGGTGGGCCTTTTATCATAACGAGAGAAATGGGTGTGAAAGGCTGGGCCCCGACCCCTTGCTCCCCCAGGCGGGCGGCCTGGGCTTCAGGTCCTCGGAGAGAAAGGCAAAGAGGGTGGCGCTGCTGGGGCGACCCCGCCCGGAGACGAGCGGGCCGGGCCTGGACTGGCCCCGGCTGCTTGAGAACGAACTTGCGCCGCACTCTGCTGCGACAGACAGGGATCGCGGCCTGTGTCAGATAATTGTAGGCGTCAGCGTGGAAAGTTGCAGTGTTTGCATAC